GCTATAAAGATAGCATTTCGCAATGACTAACTGTCTTGGAGCTTACGAAACAGGTCATTGGAATTTAGAATCAATTTAGATTTTTATTTTTTTTTTTCTCTTGCATCCAGACAGCCAAATAGTGAACCGTGTTTTCTCTAATCGTATATGCATAAATAATAATTCACTAGTCTTTTTTGATATATAGCTCAATAATATATGCTGTTCTTGATTATTTTCGTCTGTCCGTTAGTTTATAACAAGCAAAAAATTGTTTGATATACTTTAATGAAAACTGACAAAGAATTTATTTTACAGTGATAAAGTAAAACTTCATTAATTTTAAAATAGTATACAGGGTATTGAGAGAGCATTTTTAAATTAAATAGACGAATGTTCGCAATAGCTTTGTATTTTTTTTTATAAAATCGTTTGTGAAGTTACAAAAAATATAAGAATTTTCATTAAATACTCTTCAAAAGGAATCTGTAGTATCAATAAATTTGATCGAAAGTGTTAATTTATCATTATCAAATATGCACAGACCCACACACACTAAAATGTACATTTAAACAGCTGAAGAAATTATCACTGACAAGTGCAATATTGATTCAAACTAAAAATGGACGCGGCTGAGATACGAAGAATGTAATTGAGATTAAAGTATTTGTAAAATTTTACACAGAATATTTTTACGTAATCAGTTACGTTGTTAAAGTCGAATCACATTAAATACTCTGCGGAGCGTCCTTAAAAAAATCAGTTATTTATATCGGTCGCTTCGAAACTTGGATAATTTTATTACTATAAAATCATACGCAACTTAACTCGCTACTACGACGGCAATCGTCTGATAACTATGGCTTATCAAAAGTCAACTAATTTGTACTGAATGTCACTGGGACGTGTTGTCCTTTGCACTATCAACCGACAGGTTGCAAAAGCTATCTAAAATTGCATTTACGACTTTCAAGACGTGATAACAGAAATATTTTTTAAAATTATATAAAAAAAAAACTATTTAATATTACTATCGATTATGTTGTCGTGGAAAATTTTAATTTAAAAACGATAACAGTCCTTTGACTAGCGTTTAAATAAATATACGATATAAATTTAAAAGTATGAAAATTAAACAACTATATACAAGTAATTTATTGTTTCGTCAAACCATATTCTCGGTTAACTCATTACTTCTTGGTATCTCATTAATTCTTAGAATCATTTTTTCTTCCACGACGTTAAAAAGTATAAGCAACAAAGACGCATATTTCATGACGAGGCGCTAAAATATTGGTTCATAAACGTAAATGAGCGAGTATAGTTTAATAAATAAAACAATAAAAAGCTGTGTGTATTGAAACAGATATCTATTATTTTCCGTTTGCCGGTAAAGATACACAGCTACCAGCTCCAAGATCCAAAGCGTTCAATCACCCCGACACAGCTTGTATTTTACTAGCGAAGAACTAAAATGCTAAACGCTGTCTTTGTCTTTGTTCTCATTTAAATGAACGTATTAGATGTACTTTTAAATTTACATTACAGTAGATATGTTTTATTTAAATATTGTTTATAGTCGCAATGCAAACTGACTAGCTAATTACTTGAGGATGAAAAGGCTCTTTGTCTGGACCCCACTGTTTAGAGAAAACGTAAGCAAAAAATATATATCTCGTTAGACGCATCTTAAGTATTTCTCAGTTAATGTTATGAATTTAATATACTTATTATATTCTCTTCCTTTAATATTGAAAGGAAATGTATGGCCAACTTATATATATGTATATCTTAATTAATTTTTAGTCCGAGCGTGCATAATATAATTGAAACACAATTGACTTTGGCATTTGACCCTGAATCCCGTGATTCGGTTACTTACTTGTCTTCTAATTAACATATTAATGTATCCTACATTACCGACGTCCGTAACTAACGAATAAAAATTTACTTAATCAAAAGAGGAAGAGAAAATTCATGTAACATATTAGATTTTAGTTGCAATAATTCACCGCTTTGTAATATAAAAGACACGGGTTAAAATTAAGTGCTAATTAAAAACTCCAGTTAAAGTATAAAGCTAATAGTTTAGATGCACGAAGTGGCCTTTAAAAGATGTTCGTCTTGGTTGAGATAGCGCGAGCTAGGTTCTCTTATACCTAGGGCGTCGCCCTTTCGCCACCTTCTACGGTCTACAGATTTCTACCTACATATAGCAAACTGAGCCGGAACTAAAAAAAACTCTATTTTATTGGTCGTAATTTATTTTACTCTTTACATTAGATTTATTTTCTTGTATTAGTTTTTTTGTATGTTACAGGAAATAATTATATGAATGGACGTACGTTTTAATTTCTTTAAATAAATTATTTTCCTAATCATCGTCACGTTCCCAAACTTTCCAAGAACTGTTAGTATTTTTTTGTGTTATAAAGTAACAGTTCTCGCAATCCAGGAAAGGTACACAAAAAATAGAAATCTGTCCAGCATCGATCGTGATTTGTCCGTCAATATCCAATACTTCAATACATAAACGATTTATTAAAGATAATGTCTGAGTGGTTTGATTAAGACAATTTCCTATGCTCTCTAGCAAGCTCGATCCGTTGCACATGAACGACTATTGCAATTGCAAAACTTATTTCATTTAATTCTTGATCAACGCAATAAAGTAATAATTAGCTATTAAATTCTTATTGAAAATCTTTTTGATTACATCATAAACTGTGTAAGGTATTAATAAATTCGTATGAGCTATTATTACAAAATCAAATGATAATACACTGATAACCCTTCCTAGAAAAACATGGTTTATAGTTGAATGGTTACAATGATTTTAGCATTACATACGTGTTTTATGATTTTGAACATTATATGTGAACATATAAGTATTAATTAATAAAATGCGGCTCTTATTTACCGTCTGTAACGAGAACCACCCAAGCGGAATATTTTTTTCTCGACAATTATAAAATAGGTATTGTTATAAAACTTTGATTTTTATAGTGAATAAAGTTTTTCTATTTCATTATTATTTTTAATATATCGCATACGATAGGTGTACGATAGCTGCAGATTGAGAAAGTTAAGGAAAATTGCAAGAACAAGCAAAGCCTACTTTCTAAGCTTCATGGAAAGTCTCGGCGTTGAATTTAACGAAGTTTTTAACGAAGAAATCCCCCCAAAAAAATGTTTACTTACTTCCAAAAACACGAAACTAAAAATTAAATGCATAAATCTAACTAGACTAAAAAAATTAACCATTTTGAATTTTGAGCATATAAAATCAATGAAACAAAACAATGAACCCTATGAAAAATACAAGTACCAATCAAACTTGGACCCTACAATGGTTTTCATAAGTACATAGCTGAATAAGATAAGGTACATAAATAGGTCACATTATCATTGTCATATTTATCAGTCATTATACAATTACCCATGAACTTGGATAAATCAGAGCAATAAATTTTAAATATATACATAAATTATCTTTGAACATAAAAATAATTCATAAACTTAACACAAATATAGTAAACAAATTTAATTTCTGATAAACAACTGGAATTTTAGATCAAATAAAAATTTTGTAACAGATTACTTAAGTAATTATTATGATTACTACAATATGTAGCTTGTTTAATTTTCTATATTCTCTGTTGCATCAAAATAGTAAATAAAGATTATCTATATACCAATTCATAATGTACATAATGTATTTATATATAAGTCATTAAATTATTAAAATAATTATCGACTTATATAGAAAAAGGGTTCTAATTACACTAATTTGTTAATTGCCTAGCAATAACAAGATTATATGATTATGATTCATGAAATTTTTAATGATTTAAACAAAATACATATCATTAAATATAATAATAATGTTAAAATTACTTATGAATATTGGTAAGATAAAGAAAAACTAAAACATTATGCAATATTTAATATTGAAACAAGTTTTTAAATCAATATCTAATATTACAAATACATTGGATTACTTCTAAGGCATTGAAATGATACTAAGGGTATCATATTCCGTCAATAGTAGATATTGAATGATATTATAAAGCAAATAAAAGGTCATTTATATGAAAAATTTTAATTTCTATTGACATAATATTTTGTTCCTATTAAAATAATATTATCTTGTAATATACTTCCATATACCATTGATATTTTTAATCCTACTAGTATTATAATTGCGAAAGTTTGTGAGTGTGTGTGTATGTTTGTTCCTTCTCACGCTCAAACGGCTGAACCGATTTTTATAAAATTTTGTATACAGGAAGTTGGCGTCCAAGAATAACATATAGGCTACTTTACATCCCAGAAATCTCAGAAATCCGCGGGTAACACCGCGGGGCGCAGCTAGTTAATTATAATTCTACTAATTTAAAATTAATTATTCTAGTAGAATGCATTAATTATAAATGCGTTATTATGACTGATTGTTTTTCTATTAAAGTAATGTTAAATTAAAATAATATAGGATGGAGATATTGCATACATAAATTTTGCCGATCACATGACTATACCTATATTCAACAGGGTGAATTAGGCAATCCATATATAATAAGTGTAAGAACAGAAGTAACGCTTGTATGTATCTTTATATGTGAAATAAAACTATTAAAGCTTGAGACATAAAAACATTAAAAGTCCATATAATACTGCTGTCATATGGACTTATATAATTTTGTATGTATATATAGAAAAAGCATATTTGATATCTTATATTAATCAATGAGGAAAAATCTTTAAAAATATATTTAAGACTTGAATTTCTCAAAATCCATATTGAAAATGTTTTTTAAAATAAAATAAAATAGTTTACTTCCATGAAACTTTAAAACTATTTGAGGCTATTTTACACACAAAACATATGAAATAAATATAATAATATCAAAATAATTAAACAACTGAGTATTTGATAATATTCATAAAGTGTTACTATTCAATAATATCTTTTGTGTGTTTAAAATCAATAATCATAAACAAAAATATAAATAAAGAATTACCTTGAAAACTTGTTCGCCAATTATTTTCCAATCTGCATGGAATAAATCTGTCCATAGGTTCAGGCCTGACAAACACTGACTGTCTCCTGCTCACAGGGCTGCACTGCTGCAGCAGCCTTCTCTCATATGATCCACTGAACATTTTGGTCTTTCACAATATCTGGACAAAGCTATTTATAATCGGGGATTATTATAATGGAAGAGTCAAGACTAGATTGTTTTCCAAAATATCTTCAAGCTAATCAGTCATGATCTTTGAATACTAAATTTCGATGAATACGATGCTAGTGGCTCAGTGTGCAAGGAGACAACTGATCCCCTCGACTGCTAGCAATCTTTTGATTTGAATGCATCTTCACCTGACTTGCCTGATAGCTGTTATGTTTATCAATAAACTCCGAATAGATGATTCACAGGCGACCAATAATAAAGTTTCACTAATTATAGGTAATATTGATTATTTTAGAGTTTTGCTTATAATTTTGAGCGTTTCTTTTATTACAAATAGTATCTTTCCCGTTCTATCTTTGGCATAAAGCGCTGTGTTGCTATAAAATTGTCATGTCAACATTCAAATAAAACCGTTGTATCAACATCATTACTATAATCTGTTGTAAAAATGATAAACAGTGTTCATTGAGAGTATATTACAACTTAATTACTTTATTAAATTTAAAATACATAGATACATACTAAGTGGTTTCGTCTCATTATGATTTATTTGAAAAAACAATATCAATAAATGTTTTCATACTTACTGAGGACTTAGAAAATTTTACGTTAGATAAATACAAATTAAAAATAACAACCACACCAACAAAAAAGGAAAAGTTATAAGTTCAAAAGAATTATTTTAACTCATTTTTAGTATTAAAAACAATATTGTTTTTGCTAAGTTTGTGATGTCGATAATCTGTGGTGTTCTTTTGGTTGGAGTATACTGTGTACTGTGTTGTGTTATACTTGACTTCTTGTCAATATTTAGAACAAGATGTTTTAAAATACATGGTATAGTATGTAATTTGTGATTAACAAATTAAGATAACGATTGATTATTGTAACTGCATAAAAACTTTTTCCTGTTTTTCCAGTTCAAATATTGAACAATAAATATTTTTCATTTACATTGCATACATTTGTGTACATTTAATTACGTCTAAATTGATATCAAATTACAAGATAACCTATAATTTTACTGTATTTATATTCTTATCATTAACTTCCATGGATAACCGGCGTAAATTCCCCCGGAATGAAGAGAGAGATCGCGAAGATGTGCCGGTATACTCGAGACTTTTTATAGTTTGTGATCGCAATCTAAAAGAAGATAATTTTAGAGAAGTATTCTCTAAGTTCGGTTATATAGAGGATGTACGTATTCCCAGAGATCATAAAACAGGAGAACCTAAAGGCGTTGTATTCATAAAATTTTCTAAAACATCCGAAGCGGCTCTGGCATTGGAAGAAATGAATCTTAAAGTAATGCCATATTCTAGTAGACCGCTTAAAGTGATGGTGGCTGCTAATAAATCGGATATACAATCTGAAGACCACAGCAATGAGAAATATCGTAGATTATTCTTACATATTCCCAAAGACATGAATGAAGATATGCTTGAGGAAAATTTCAAAAAATACGGACACATAGATGACGTTCTTATCCAGAGAGACAGGAATACAAGAGAACCAAAAGGTTTCGCCTATATAAAATTTCGAAAATTTTCAGAAGCGGCATTTGCATTTGAGCAATGTGAGAAAAAATATAGAGCCATCTTCGCTCAACCTAAAGGTGCTAATAGACGGCCAGAAACAAGTTATGAGACTAATATTAATCACTTAGCAATGTCTTCTTCAAATCAGCGGAACTCTATCATGACTATGATGAATGTACAGCCCAGGGGGTACACCCGAGTTAATTTCATGTGCAGTCCATACCTCACACAAATGCATGTAGAGTCATTATTTGATATTGTACCCGGGCTTGTTGATTTTCGTTACTTTGTCGACTTAGTAAGAAATTTCAGTAAAGGTTCAGCCCAGTATTCAAATCCGGTGTCAGCGGCGTACGCTGTTGAGAAGTTAAATGAATTTGAATATCCTCCGGGTCAAAAAATATTCGTTAAGCCAGCTGATACAAACTTCGACAGCCATCCACGTAACCAGGAACAATCGTTCTCTGATATACCGAATGCTGTCAGTAATTTGAGAAACGCTATCGCTTCAACTGCAAATTCTTCTTCACCTGATCTGGTACAACTTGCTGAGGCAATAGCTGAAGCGTCAAAATTAATAAAAATGGCCACAGCAGGAGTCTCAGATGACAATATTCCTGATAGCAATGATTTGAATTATTGTAGCGTAAAGTTACCACCCACCCAACCATTAGCTGATATTGACAGTCCAGTAGCTAAGAGGTGCTTCCTGGTCTGCAAACCTCAGCCACCTCCACTTACAGTACTGCGTGATATATTCTGTAGATTCGGTAATCTCATCAATGTATACACACTGCCGCAGAAAACTGTAGGCTATGCTCGTTATTCTAAAGCGGAGTCAGCTGATAACGCAATACAAACGTTACACGGCGCCGAAATCTGCGGCATCCGTATGAAAGTCTTAGAAGCGGAGGATGAAGCGCCCTCCAAAAGAATGAGATATGATCATTAAATTCAATAAACAGACCGACCGGACATAGGACACTACTAGTGTAGACTAACAGACATCATGTACTTTAGACATAATAAAAGTATACATTTACAACAGACAACACTCTTTATTGCTATAAAATAATTTGTAAATGATTTTATAGCTGACATTCCTTAGTATATTTGACAACATGAAAACGACAGTTCAGAAACAAGTTCCCTCCATGTCAATAAAATGACTGAATCTATTTACATTTTTATTCAGGCATAATTATTACATTGCACACAGCCATATTGCTTGATGACATATAATTGACTTTTACATGGTATTACTCCGATTCAACAATAGCTTGGTACATCAGCGGCAGGAGATGATTCTTGTACAATGGGTGTTTTTCTCCGTGTGTTATTTTGATAATCTTCTCAGCACATTTGAACTGCTCCAATGCCCCCGCTAGATTCATTTTATACAGCAATATCTTTCCATACTTTATATGCAACAATCCCAATAAGGGATGCAATTCGCCGTAATAAAACCTGCAAAGAGAGTACCGTTTGTCATTAGGCGGTTTTAATTTCTCGTCATTCAGATAGCGTTAATTATATGGCAGTAAAATTAAAAGACTATCTACGGCTCTCGCATAATTAATTTATTTATAGCTTTAAATTATGACCGCAATAAAAATGATTTAATAATGAAACGTAACATAAAATCAGCCTGTTGCTGCTTTGCTTTTTTTTGGGCATTATAATGAGTTTATTTTACAAGGTAGGTACTCAGCATAAATTATCCTCATAATGATACCATTATACATTAAATTTGCATAAAACAAAAGAAACACTGTATTTACCGGACCCTTTACCTGATTAATACATAATTGTGTAGACATTAAATCTGACTAAACAAACGGAAATGTAAAAAACAAACTTTAATGTTGTAATTGCTGTGAGTATCATAAAATTAAATTTTTCCATTTGTAAGAAATTACTAACTGATTCCAAATATACTTAATTTTTGCATGTAAACTTACTTAAGTATTAGATGAGAAACTTCAACAAAATTGCTTCAAACCTTGAATTATTTATGCTATCATAAAATCTATTGTCATATGTATATTAAATGAAGACAAACGACGATAGATGGCGCTGTTTATTACCCTATAATATATTATATTTGATGGCCGTGGAAGAAACTTTATTTTATTACCTGAAGCATGGTATTAATTTTTCAGCATAAACACAGGCTTGTTCCCACAGCTGGACTAGTATTAGAGCGTCGAAGGCATTATCCAGAGTCTGTGCGTACATAACATTCAATGGATGCAATACTCCCTCTTGTTTCCCTAAACAATGCTTGCATATGTCGACATCTAGTGGCGACGTTAAGAATATCATGATATAAACACTTTAATTCAACACTTTAAAATCTTTCACAAAAAATATTTTGAAAACAAAACTAATGAAACTACAATGATTTAGCCAGTATGGAAAGTTTTTAATTATTATTTAATTGAGGCACACACAATATTTTGTTTCATTACTTGAAACAAAACAAAAATGCTAAAGGAGCTTTCTAGCGATTTGAGTGACTATCAAGAAGCCATTTTAACAAACTTTAATTATAACACTCAGGTTGCAAATTCTACCGTAAAAAGGAAATATCTACGAATTTATTTTCGTAGTGTAGGAATACTTAACAATTTTGGATAGGGTTAAACCTTTATAAGTAAACAAATCCAGTTTTGGACATCCAAATAAACGAAAAGAATAATCTTCAATGTCGTCAAAGTTAGTATACCTATTAAAACTATTGCTTCATTTATATAATAGAAAAATTTTCAAAGGATACAAGCAACTGAAGTCTCTTTCATATTCTCCAAATTGACTTCACTTTCCCCCATGGTTTTTATGAACTTATCGAGATCATTCCTCATAAACTCGGTACCACATTTTTCACAATACACAGATTCATCAGGCAGTGGCAGAATTCCATTAAACGTCGGTTCCTTGCATCCATTACTAACTATTCTATCACTATCGCCATTTTCTATTGCCTTCTCTTTCTGAACCTTTTCGACTAATTTCAAATTTTCCCGCCATTTTATATTTACTGGGTGTTCACAACCAGCTTTGAGACATTTAGCCGCGTGCACGTATTTTATATGGTTTTCGTCTGAAATTAGACATAATTAAGTAAATACCAAATTAACACTTCCCTATTTTAAAGATAAAAAATATTTTCGAAGTCATACCAGCATGCAAATCGCCTGGCGTTATGAAAATATGTATATTTAAGAGAAAAAGTTAATCGAGTAGCGAGAGTAAATAAAATATAAGTACAATATTTATAACAATACTATGGTTATAATAAGTTTATACTTGTTCTAACTGTTTAAACTCGATACAGAAACATCACAGGCAGAGTCTGTGCTCGTAGGTTTTTATACTAATTATATAACTGGCAACACAGACAAGCACAGATTCAGCACAAAGCACATCTAAAGCATTACCCAAGCACCTGTCACACTGGCACAGGAAATAGTAGCTCTGACGCAGTTCCATTTGACGTTCGTAAGGCGTCTTCATGAGGTCTATGTAAGATATTCTAATCTGAAAATATATAGTAATTATAATTAATATTCAATAACTTATATTTATACTTATTCTATTAGTCATTACACTTAATCAAAAAAGAAACTACCTGTAATACTCATTTCATATACATAGTTATTACCACACTTGGTACAAACTTCAACATTATAAAATAGCCATTTAATATTTTTCTTCAAAATACCTAATACTTTGTAGAGGCTACGTTATATATATTTTTAGTTTAATAGAAATTATTTTATTTAACTATTTTTAGCATGGCATTGCACAAAGAGTAATGTATTGAATGTATTTTAGGGCATGAAATTTGGACACAGAGACATTATTAAATAAAGAATATGAGAACAAAATGTAAAACCACTGAGAGCTGCTAGTATTATTATAAGAATTCCATATTAGGTAGCATTTTTGAATATCTCATTTGAACACTCAAGGATGGCATAATCAGATTCATTTCATTGAACAGAAAGCTGTCTAAGAACATGAAAAATATATATGTATATACCCTCAACATGAGGAACTTTATAAATTAAGCTCATTAGACCTCAGATATTTCACAAACTCTTAATTAAAATATTTAATTATCTGAGTATATATTTAAACTATGAATTCTATATATGTACATTTGGTACATGTAATAATATTCTAACCTTTTTCCAATCCAAGCAATTCATGTCTTTCAAAGCTCTTATATTGATGGTCTTTCCATCGAAGACAGCTACAGCATTTGGATTGCAACTATGGTCTATTATTGATGAAGCCAGATAAATCCCTGTTCCTATGGAATTCATCTCAATGTCCAATATTGTAAAACTATTTATAACCATCTGAAAATCAATTAAGACTATATATTATATATAATTTTGATGATATTTATATATGTATTTTGAATTCAAATGCCATACCCTTCCATACAATCCCATAAGATCAACAGTGTTAGGCAATGAGATGTCTTTCAAGTATTCAAATAGCACCATACACAAAGTAGAGAAATGATCCATCCTTTTCTTGTCCGATTTAAGATCAGAATAATCTGAAAAATATTTTCATATATATACATTTAATCTACATACATTCCTTATTATTATTGTTATGTTAGTACTGGTATCTAGTTATTATTGCTCAATTATTTATAATTGTATATATATTTGGTTAATAGATTTCATGATAATATTATGTTTGTTGCAAGATGTAGCACAAAATTTTTAGAAAATTATACATAATATGTATTTCTATTATCTGCATATACTTAATGCTATATAAGACTTTCGCCAGTATTAATTTAATAAAAACGAATATTTTTGTATTTCATTTCCTTTTCTTAGTATTTTAATTACATATTCCCGAGTTGTTGGGTTACATTGCATCAACCGTGATCTCAGGCAGACGTGATAAAAATGTATGTCAGTTGGTCGTATTATTTGTCATCTACAGACAACGATTTCTTAATTTCCTGGAGTACAGCTTTTTATACCCTTGTATCAGTATTACGAGATTGACCCATTATACTTAACAAGCACTTTACACATAAACCCTCGTTCACAGCTGTTATTACGTACTATATACTGGGTGGCGCAAAAGTAAAGACCCTATTTGGTTCAGCTATAACATTTTTTTCTAAATGAGAAAACTAGATTTAGGTTTTTTTTAAATGTATATTTGTGCCATTAAATTTCGTACCATTAGGATTTAAAGATGATGTCTTTTAAATGGTGACCTCCAGAGTTGATACACATTTGAGCCCTATTTATGACATTTTGCATAACTTGCCGTAACACTTCCTGCGATATACTCGTTATTTCTTGACGAATGTTTTCTTTTAGAGCTGCGAGAGTCTGTGGCTTGTTCACATACACCCGAGATTCCAAAAACCCCCAAAGAAAGAAGTCTGGACTGGTCAAATCGGGTGATCTTGCAGGCCAAGGCAAATCGCCAAAACGAGAGATAACTCGGCCTGGAAAAGCGTCCTTCACTAAGTCCATAGTGTCGCGTTCTGTGTGTGCCGTAGCGCCGTCTTGTTGAAACCAGATGTAACTTTGAGTGGGTGTAGAGGTGTTTCTTGAATAATGCGCGGATTATCAGTGCCCCAGAACCGAGTATTCTGCTTATTGACATGCCCTGAGAGATGGAAATGCGCTTCGTCACTCATAACCAATTTTGTGTATCAACTCTGGAGGTCACCATTTAAAAGACATTATCTTTAAATCCTAATGGTACGAAATTTAATGGCACAAATATACATTTAAAAAAAACCTAAATCTAGTTTTCTCATTTAGAAAAAAAGTTATAGCTGAACCAAATAGGGTCTTTACTTTTGCGCCACCCTATGCAAATTCACAGTAACTAGTAAAACTACAGACTTCATTTAAATATATTAATTCTAATAAACTCACGCGACATGAGATCCTTCCACACCCTGAATGAAGTCGGTGTATAATAAGCCTTATATGCACCGCCGTTACCACGTTGAAGACGATTCAGAATCCTGGCGAGAAGGCGAGCTGCATCGGGTATAGTTTTAGGAGCTATCCTCTTTAAATTAGCACATTCCCACTGAAAAATATTTACATATATTATTAGTATAACGTATGTTATCATTTAACTGAAATTGTTTTGGCAAATTTATATTGTAAGTTCGATTGCGGTTGTTGCAAAATAGCCGAAAACTGGAGTATGTAGTTGTTAAATTAAAAAAAAACTAGTAGTATATCCGAAAACCTTTGTTTTAATTACTTATAGCTCAACCTTGCCTTAGAACTACTGTGCAAAACCGACACTTATTTAATAATATAAAACTGAAAAATTATTCAAGTATGTAATAAGATTGATAACTATAAATAGTGTAACTAACCTAACCTAATACTTGAACAACAATTTAAGTAGTTTTAAGATAAGGAGCGAATTGTCCGTATTAATGAATCATACGCAACAAAAATCACTAAGAGAGGACTTTTCGAAATATATCCGCATTTTCTTCACAGATTGCTGACAATATAAATTTCATGGCAAATAAATTGCTATGGATAGTAACTATTTATCATGAATGAAACACTATTTTTCTATTTTAAACAAAACATACCAATATCACGAGATATGGCACGTAGCCACGAGTTACATCTGGAGTTTATTTAACCACTCAAATGGTAGAATATAAAGCATACAGTTTATGACAAATCAATTCCTTTTAAGATAATTCTATTCATGTTTATTAACATCTGGCTTTTATATTCGAAAATAGAAGTTTTTGTTCAATTTATAGTAATAAATTAAATTGTATTTAGTTATTTCAAATAAATAGTATTACAACAAAATTTTATATTAAAAGTATACACTATGCTTTAACCAACAATAGTTTGTTTTTACTTTTATTGAGTTTGATCCTGCTAATCTGTAGTATGCCTGACCCGATTTTGATGGGAATTTCACTAGCAGGTAGGTAATATTATAAGGGGTAACTTAGGTAACTCTAGGCAATGACGAAATGCTCAATTCAACTATATGTCTGATAAGCTTTAACACTTTCAACAAAATTATTTTATTATGCAAGAGTATTAAACTGAATGAGAAAATTAATAATATACAGGGTGACTGGTGAATTACTATCAATATTTAAGGAGAATACTCGGTACATGATTCTCATTCGAATTATGTAAAAAAAATAGGCACTTAATTTTTGACAAAATTTCCGTATAAATAAATAAAGTGTTGACACGTTCCAAGTGTACCAAGTGTGGACGCGTGCGGCGGCGTGCTGATACAACACCACGCCGCCGCACGCGTATGTGTGAGTGTGTGTGTATACCTAATCTGTAGGGTGTTCACACGATGCGTAATTAATTACATAACTTTTGGTTAACTTTACTTAGAAGTTTATTATTATTTATGTTATATTAATTTTTATTTTGTCATATATGATCGTCAAATATCACGTCCTCAAGTATCGATAGTAATTCACCAGTCACCCTGTATAATTCAAATAGTCTATACTATGCAGGAGAAGCCACAGCCAACATCCCTTTTTATATATTTATTAACTTTCCGCCCGCAGCTTCGCCCGCGTGTAGTTCAGTTATATCACGTTTCCAAGAGAACCTTTCAAAAGTCTGGGATAAAAACTATCCGGTTTTCTTTCTCAAGGTCAACTTTATGTCTGTACCAAATTTCATTAAAATCAGTTCAGTGGTTTAGACGTGAAAGCGTAACAGACAGACAGAGTTACTTTCGCGTTTATAATATTGGTATATATGGGATATGGATTAAATACATTTTATACATTTAATTACTTTTTCATGTTACATTACAGTGCCTGTTACATTATGTGTACAGGTGCTTCATAATCATCAACAATATTTTATATGTACTTCAATGTTATGTTCTAGTTTTTGAGTTGTTCTCACATACAAACATTTATTTATTTATGTAATGAATTTCAATAATGAACAAAGGTCATATTAAAGAAAAATCAAAATTCATATAAAAAGTACAAAAATACGAATTATTGAAGAATTTTTTACAGTATATAAAATTTTATATTTATGAGTGTATACATACATTACCTTGTGATCTTCCCAGGCATCTTTTTGACAATTTCTATTACAGTAGTGGACAAATTGGCAGCCAGAACACTTTAACACCTTTCCTCTGAAATTATTGACACATTTAAAGATGACTTACATACAAATAGCTTAAGAAATCAGGATTTGAATCCCTTAATTATACAAAACTGAGTGTTGCAATATTGTTCTGGAATGTTAGTAATTCTTTTGCTATTAATTTATATAATTAAGTAATTTAATTTTCATTAATCTCATTTGGAGAGTAAAAATGATGTTATGATTATAATAACCTATGAAAAATTCACTTTTTTCATTAAACTTTAAAAAAAATTTATATTATATTTAAGTTTTTCTTGAGGACAATTTTAGATAAAACCATATTTATCTGGTCACAGAAATAATAATTTAAATAAATAGTACTATTTTCATAAAAAATATTTAAAAGAAAAACATTAATTGGTGGTAGAAGTTTATCTAGACCACATTAACACCCCTCAGGTAATTTAAATAATAATGAAACATTAAATTCAAAAACAATACTTACCTTTCTAAGCAGAAATCACACCGACTTCCCTTTTCTTTGGATGATAAAACATAAGCAAAGGGTTCTTCCGATAGAATAAGATCACCGGTCTTTACAGCGTTTATATGTTTTAGCTTATACATAATTATTATTTTAGACTATAACAGGTCTCATTAAACTATCTTTATTATCTAATAAGTCATAAGCGAAAAACCTCAAAAGAAATCTTTGTGGAATGTAAAAAATAGTATACGCTAACGTCGAGTTACGTATGAAGTCTTAAAATATTGGCTTCACCTGCGGTTCTATATTTAATCTCTCGGTTTCATTATTTATAGTTCAAAAAGTCTACCGCATCCGTTACGACAAATATCATTTCACAAATAAACAAAATTGCTACTAATAATAGTTCTCGGATACATTGTATAATTCATAAAAGCTACAATTGTCAATTTGTCACTTCATAAATGTCAGTCTGACAAAGAGTAATACTTGGTTGGAATCATGTCTTTTGATATCTTCTATCTTCTATATATATAAAAATGGATTGCTGTTCCTTAGTCTCGCTAAAACTCGAGAACGGCTGAACGGATTTATCCTATGTTAGTCTTGAAATGTTCGTGGAGGTTCGGGGAAGGTATAAAAGCAGAAAAAAATTGATTCATAACTTGGAAAACCATAAAAACAGCCCTTTTCTATTTCCCATACAAACGTTTTTTTTTGACATTTGATTTGACAACTAACTAATGTCAATAACTTTGTCGCACTTCAAAACACAGGTAAACTCCAAAAATATAAATAAAAAAACGTACTAGATATTTCTTGATTATAGGGCGATACGAAGTTCGCCAGGTCTTCTAGTAATGTATAATTTTCGTTTTTTTTAAATATGATCAAATTTACATTTATAAATTAATTAAAATTAGAATAATACTTTCTTATCCTGTTATTGATAATTGAATTCTTTATGTTTATATCTTAGATACTATTATACACAATATATAAATTAACTCTGAACAGATTTAAAATAAAAAGGGTATTTTATTTAATTACCTGTAGTTTTTCATAGCAATATTACTCAGTGAATATATAACATGATATCTAATATATAAAATTCTCGTGTCACAGTTTTCGTGCCCATACTCCTCCGAAACAACCTGACCGATTTTGATGAAATTTTTTGTGCTTATTCGGTAGCTATGAGAATCGGCCAACATCTATTTTTCATCCCCCTAAATGTTAGGTGTAGTCCACCCCTAAATTTTTTTTTTTTATTTTTTAGACAAAATTTTTAATTACTATTTTTTTATGATACAACGTACAAAAATACATACAATCCTAAATTTTCACCCTTCTACGATCAACCCTTATTTTTTAATAGCTATTTTAGTAATTTAATCATTTTTCATCTCCGGTCGATAACTGATCAATCGTCATTTAATAAGTTATCCCCGCCAGATATCTACAGGTGTCACTTCTGACCCAGTAAACAGCACGGAGTAGGGATGAGAACGAAGCCGGTCTTCTGTTTCTCTCACACAATTAGACTTCTCTCACTCCCTACACAGTTGTCGGCCATCGTTATTGTTTGTGCATCAAGTGTAGTAGTAACGTTGACAATTATTATTTTGCTAGCTCAGTGTAACTCTCATATTAACTATTAATCATTCCTAATCACTTCAAAACACGGAGATTTATGGCTTTAATAGGTAAACTCCAAAAATATAAATAAAAAAACGTAACAGATATTTCTTGATTATAGGGCGAAACGAAGTTCGCCGGGTCTTCTAGTTATATATAATAGGGACCGGTGAATTGCAACAAGTCGCTCAACGAACGTGCTGTCAAACTCAAGTCATAAGTGACATATTTACTAGAAGAATATTTATTTCACGTGGGTTTTCAATTTTACATATATATTCAAAAGTTTAGCTAATGTTATTATTATAGTAAGTGAATTAACTGTAACTGGATATGTCTCTTGTATTAACAAAGGCTGCTTTAGCTTTAAAGAATGCTGAAAGTAATTTTCAAGTGGTTAAGTTCGAAGCACATAAACCTAAAAAGAAAACTGACACCGAAAGTGATATAAATCTAAATAAGAAAGAAACTCAAACACCTCAGTCGAAAAAGGATGTCGATTTAAAGAAAATACGTCATGAAATCGTTAGGTTTGGAATGTCGGGATTCAGTGGAACTAAAAAAGAAGAGGCAAAAATAGCTTTAGCAATCAGTTTAGGTAATAGTTGCATATATATTAGTAAATTATTTTTATTTATGTTAAAATTGCTCTAACATTATTGTTTATAAAATTTTAGGTGCCAAACCTCCCAAACGTGAATATATTAATTACAAAGAACTTATGGAAAAACGGAAACAAGAAAAACAGAAACTGCAAAATGAAAAACAATTGATGATGGCCAAAACTGTCCTTCATACAACAAAGAAAAAGAAGAAAGGAGTTAATAATGATGTTGGACATTTACTAAGCAGTTACGGCAAGGTAAACTGTTATAACTTTAGCATTTGTCTTAATATTGGTACTAGTATTGCTTTGTAAAGTTTGAAGAAAATATGAAACATATAAATATAAATTTTTTATTCTACATACTTATATAGAATGATGATTACAGGTGCAGAAGAAGGATTTAAAACAAAAATCGGAAAAAGGAAGTGGTAAAAAGAAAAAGAAATAAAATTGTCTTCAAGTATATTTTATTTTATTTCAAATATAACTCACATGTGATACTGTCTAAGAGCAAAATAATGTTTTGGTAGCTACTGGTATTAAATGGGTAACACTGAATTTGTTTAGAAGTGGCCATTTAGAGACATTGCTAATGAAAACATTTTTGCATTACAATTTTGGAATTCAGGTAACTTTATGTAGAATATTGCATTAATTATATACATCAGTGCTTGGTGATGCTTGATAGAGTGACCAATCAAGCTAGTGACCTAGACAAGCTTAAGCATTGGTAGAAGAAGCTGTGTACCTAATGGATTCTCCATACCTTAACCAATAACCAAAAGCATCTTTACATTGTCTGGTGTTGTCAAACGTTAGATAAGTTGAACAGTTATCATTCAAAAGCTGTATTTGACATTGAAACAGGTGATGAAAGCTGGATATATTAGTATGAACCCGAAACCAAAGGACTATCATCTCAGTGTCTTTCCTTTCAAAAATAGGCCAACTGACCAACTATTAATCAGAAGGGACTGGACTTAACTTTGAAAAACAATAAAAGTATGGCCAACTTTCTACATTAAACTGTTTATCATTTACTAAACATTTTCAGTGTTACTAAGTTATGTTATTCTTCTAAAGTAATACATTTATAACAATGAGAAATTCTCAGCTTTCTAATAGTTTTTGATTGATAAATGTCTTGTAATTAAGAGAACAAATAAAAACATGAATATAAATAAATTTATTACTTGTAACATGTTTTTAAATATCAAAATTAGTGAACATTTTAATTCTATGGATTTGACTAAAATATCAAGATTATAAATGTATGATACACTTATCCAATGTGATTGAGATATAACACTGTAAAAATGTTTGTTTTGCATTATTTTATTGAACACTGCCAAGGGTATTTGGCTTTTAGTTTTAAAGTTTCAAATTCCTGAGTAAAAAGTAACATAAATTAACTCACTCTTGACTTATTTCTTTAAACTTTTCCGCCTTCAATTATGACTGAAGAATTTTAAACTATATGTACAGTGTTTAAAGTAGTTTCAGACTTGATTTTTAATGTTCAGCATAACTTCCAGTAATATCTTAAAAAATAACTAAAGCCAGTATTTACTATTTAGTTTTCAAATGCAAGGTGATGCTTAAATGTTGCCATAACAAAATTACAATGGTTCAGTAGTAAATTAATTATAATCAGTCATGAAAATCATTTTAAGGTTTATAGTATTCTATAATTAGTATGGCATAGATGGCACCACTTGTAACAACAGAGCATTCATAGATATCAAGTCTCATTCCAGGATTTTAAAGCACTAAGTATCCTTAAAAACTTTCAAATATAATATAACAATTTATCATTACAAGTTTTTATGCATCATGTACATGTATGTAATTAGAGCTCTGTGGTAGAAATCCTTTAATTCATATGTTTTGTTAAATTTCTTTTGTGAAAATAATTCAAGTCAGATGTAACAATATGTACCAAAAAAAAGAGGACAATATTTGATTGCTTAAAAATAAAATTATTTATTTAAGAAATTCTTATTTTAGATGGATTTTCCTCTAATTTACAGCAATACTGCTTTGTCTCATTAAAAATATTATTTAAAGGAAAGAAAAAATAATACAAATAATGGTAATTATTATATATTTCATAGTATCTAAGTATAATAGTTATATTTACAACACCAAATATTAACATAAATATAGTAATATTATGCAGGCAAGTTTAATTTTTACAATAAATTAAAAATGTATATAATAACATAAAAATTCATTATCAATTGTTAAACATACGGTTCAAAATACTTAATAGCAGTCGTCATAGATTTCTCGTTGATTTTATTCGTTGCGATGGGATTCTTAAATCTCATTTTAATGTCCTTAGGTTTTAACACGCTTTTATGATTAGCACTCGGCGGTCGCATACCAAGGTAATTCTTGTTATGGCTAAATATAGACTTAGAACTAAGACCAGACGTCTCTAGGAAGAAATCAAACGTGCCCTTAGATTTTTTCATGTTGTTCGTTTCAGTATTCTTATTAATCATCATTCTCGGTTCACATTTCACGGTGTTGTATGAACCGCTGTTGCTTCCTGAAGAGTTACTTGATTCAATATCCGAATTCCTCACTGATTCAGTCTCAACATTTTCTATATTCGATAAGAGATCAGGTTTATTTGACAGTTTGGCACTTTTATGAAAACCCTTTGGAACATTTTCGTTGCTCTGATGATGTGTATTTGGTTTTTCGTTGTCTTCAGTAGTATTATGCTGATTGTCTGTTTCAGGTACGTTGGTGAGATGTTCCGTCACTACATCGGAGACGGAGCCATCACTGCTTCCAGAGCTGATGCGGTACTCTTCCGCGACTATAGTCCCGAGTTCATCATCTATCTTGAACTCCTCGAAATCTTGTGACAGATCAAATTTATCAATGTCGTCTATGTATTCACTTTTGCGAGGCTCAATTTTCCCGGGAACCTGATTGAATTGGTTGTCCAATTCGGTCAAGTTAATGTGTTTACCGCTTGTCTTGACGCCTTTGTTTATTTCTGAAAGAATAGAAGAAACTGTGTTGCCCATCTGAATTGAACCGCGAGGATCCAATTTTGGCTGCAAAGCATGAATGCTAAAATTTGCCAAGTAACTTTCAGTTGTTTGCGGAAAAGACCTGTGATCGTCATTAGGCTTTTCATCTTCATCAGGAATAATGATTTCTGTGACCTGTGGCAGTTTGGGTATATCTTTGTCACTTATTTTGTTCTGTATTCTAGGTAAGGACACCACTTTAGCCACGTTATTCCTCTGATTAGCAGCATGAATGGGATACTGTTCATTATGTATTTCAACTGTAGGCTGCGTCAGTAGCAACTCTCTTTTACCATTACTGACTACTGGAACATTTATCTCTGAAATGGAACAGTAGTCCGGTTCTAAGTTTTTCATTGTAGCCACTTGTCCCGCATTTCTCGTCTTAACATCTGCAACCCGTTGATTAGCCGCAACGGCTTCAGAGTCTAATAGCTCCATCGCTGGTCTCATAGAGTTTTCAGCTTTCCATTTGGCTGATAAATTTTTTGGTTTAGGCGGCAGTGCAGGGGGAGTTCGTGGCACTTTTCTCTTATTGAATATCTTCATTGAACCCAGACTATTATCTTGAATTGTCTTTGTTTCCATCGTGTTGATAAGATTACGGTTTTCTATATTGGCAGCAATATTTTTCACTATAGAGCCTCTTATTTTAGGAACAGCGTTTTTCTCAGGTGTCGGCGGAGCTCTCATCATGGAAGCAGGATGTTCCTCAGCAGATTTTGTTATTATTGGTTCATATTCATTACTGTAAATGCTTTGAATTTCATATTGAAAGCCTTGGGCAGTATTTGGAACTTCATAGCTGTGTTCTGAAGCCGTCTCCAAACTAAATTTGACGATTTTATTAGCTCTCTTATCTGATCTAGGTAAGGTGTGGTTTGAGCCAATATTGGATCTAAATTTATCGTCATAAGAAATGCTATTTAAAGTCGAAAATTGAACTCGTTTAGTTGCTGCTTTAGGACTTGGACTTGGAGCTTCGCTTGATTTTGAATTGTCATTGCTACTATCATCTAAAGAATTCTGAAGTAGAATTTGATTGACGCATTCAAGAACAGGATTATTTCTGTAAATTTCATTTGGTGGAGTATCATCGGCGTCACTAGTGCTAGCGTACCAATTTTCGCTTATATCGCCGTTGATTTCATTATTTTTGTTTAAATTATTATTTTTATCATCAAACATGAATTTATCATTGTTATCATTCATTAAGACATTATTACAGAGCACTTCATTTTTGGCAGAAATAAGTTCAGCGTGTATCACGCCACTATTTATGCCTGCCATCAAAACGTTGTTGGCTGATTTGATATCATCAATATTAACTCTTTGGTCTAGACAGTCGATGTCTTGTTCTGGATCGCTGACATTGCAATACCATGGCTTCTCATCGCCATCATCACTTAGCACCTTATTTAGGAATATTTGTCTGTTCGTTTTTATTTCTTCCGAGGCTTGTCTTTTGATTCCATGGAGCCTTTCAATTTTGGTGGAATACGTCTTGTCAGAATCCGTGTAAACTTCTGCATCTTTTTTGGCTGCTTCATCAATGAGCTGATCTATTTTGAGTGAAGCCCTTCTTATATCATTTGCTATTTGATTAGCCGTGGCATCATTATCTTCTTCGTGTACTTGGTAATTCAGACTAACACATTCTTCTGCGCTACTGCTATGTACTTGGTTGTTATAATTCTTTTGTATATTTTCATTATTTTTACCGTTGTTCTTTCTGCCTGAGTATTTTCTTGATCTTCTAAATACATCTCTCCTTACAAAAGCTTGTTTGTTTTTAATGAAGGTACCCTTACTTCCCACGCTTACAGTGTTACCCTCTTCACTTGAACTTGAATTACCATATACTATATCATTCTTCGGAAGTTGGAAGCTTTTACTTAACCTAGTGTTCTTTTGGAAAGCCGGTGGTGATTTTCTTTCACGATAACTACAGCTTCTGACAAAACTATTTTGAAACCTAGAATCTGTGCTTTCTAGGCTCTGGAACTCCGGGTCCGTCTCTATATTGGTTTGTTCGCTCGTAAACCCAAGTAGTTGTTGACAGTTGCTGCAATAAGACTTCCGTGCTTTAAGTTTATTTATTTCTTCCTGTTGTGATTTTATAATTTTATCTTTCTGTTTAAGTGATACGTGTATTTGTTGCTGTTCTCTGCTCAGTCTTGATTCAAGTAGCACTAACGAGCGGAGGACTATTGCTAGCTGGTCCTGCCTTAATCGTCGTTCCTGGGCAGCTTTCTTGTCGCGAGCAGCAAGTTCTTGGGTCGCTTCAACCAACTGATGCCTCTGTTTGAGCACAGACTCCGACTGTTGCTGTAAGGCGCTCCTCACCGCGTCCAACTCCCGTCTCAACTCCATAGCTTCTGAACTGCTATCCATCTGAAAAATAAAAATACATTGTTAGCATTAAACAAGAAGGTTCGCCAACTCTTTAATGTCAATGGGATAAACATCGACATTTAAGTCTAAAAGACACTTCAATAGAACGACTATACAACAGTAGATATACCTAAATGTCAAGACCGATAGAATCACGTTTTCATCAAAATAGTAAAAAGCATAAATAAGATGAATTGCTCCAACGTCTAATGTATATTGTATTATGTATTCAAAACATATGAATTCTTTTTATCCGTAATAGTCTACAATAATTTTGATAAGGAGGTCAATAGTATCAGGAAACTGTTATCGAAAGCTGAATGTAAAATTTATGTATTTATATGAAACAGATAAATGATTTTCTTTCTTAATATAATTAAAAATCAAAGTTCAGATTTGTAAAAGCAATTAATATAGAATTTACGACGTGTTAAATATTGCTGTTATTATAAAAAAATACTTCAACATGATTGTAATGGTTGTTTAGCAATAAAATGGTCATCTAGGTTAGCAATTAAAGATAAGAGATTTATTTAGAAGTCAGCGCTACTTTTACTTCACTATACGTTCAAAGTCCGTTTAGTATAACCCCGTTAATTACTATGTTATTTTGTTTCAAATATAATTGTTTTGTAAATATATTTCGGTACAAAGTCTATTAGACATCAATATAGTATTGAATTTTATCGCTATATTAATATGTTAAAATAACAAATCGAATATAGAACACAAAAAAAAATCACGATATAAAAACTTAAAGCATGCAAAAACTATTTATTTATGTAATTTTAATGACACTATATATTTTAGGTAAACATAATTGCGGTCGAAGTTCAATAGTTTAGACCTATTAATATTTTAATGATTCAACAAAACAACAAAAATTTAATTGCTCAAGCAATCATTTAATATGCATCATCATTTCTAAACGGTGCTTGTAAACAAATATTACTTAAACCTACCTATATATTTACTTAAGAACAAAGTTCAGAAATATTGTTTACTAATGATGTACAAATGAAAACGATATCTAGCTTAATATAAACAAGGTCTAATTTCAAAATGATTTATTGGTTAGTTTTTTTGTTGGTGTAGTAATATTTTATCACATCCAAATTAACAGACGCCCACGGAGACGGGGTAACAGAAACGAAAGTCGAGCCACAATAGGTCTCTGAAGGTAAACTTTCCCAATATTCAGACTCATATCATTCATTCATTCAAACCATTCTTCAAATTTTGAAATTTTATAGTAATATTTTTAAACGATTTTAAGTCAAATATTTTGTAGTCTTAGCATAAGTAATTAAGTATTTAAGAGATTAAAATTCTCATAGTGTATTTAAACTAAATGTTTGGCCAGTATAGTAAACTTCGAATTATCTTGAATTCATTTATAGAAAAACGGTAAAAGTTTCGTATTTACTGTAGGTACTTGCAAACTTTAGTTAGCACTTGTAGTAAAATTGTATTTATGAGTTTTTGCTTACAAGTATAAACTCATTTCTGACTAATATGGAGATGTAAAATTTTAATCTAACCTGAAAAAAAAATGGTAGGTTTGTGATAGACTACATAATAAAAAATTTAAATTCACTTGTTAAAATACATAACGTGTGTAACTTCATTTGTACACAAAAAGACAATTAAAGTATGTGTATCTTAATATTCTGAAACTTTTCCGTGCTCCTAAATAATATTACCCGTAAATATGATTCATCAAATGAACTATAGCTATTATGAAATTGATTACAAAATTAAATAGATATAGATTTAGTTTAGCTTCAATGACATATTGAAGCCAAGGACAGACATTCAGAGCGTAGGATATAAGATATTATAGCGGTTTTGTAAGACGAAACAACTGTAATATGAAAATAATGACAAAGATGATAATACTTCGTCTGTCTTTACTTATTATTATAATTTATATGCTTTAGAATTTAGATTCTTTGTTAACACACACATACACACGTACCTATATATATTCAACACTAAGCCAGAAAAAATCTTTACTCAACGATAAGACAGTGATTTATTTACCTTTTTTTTAAATGGTTGAATCTCTTTATTTCTTCCGTATTTTGCTATACCTACAATGAAGAATATGATAAAAATACTTAATGAAACTTAATGCATATGAATTAATTATGAGTTCTATCCTACAAAATAAAGTCTTTATAGTTAAATAATTTCTATATGTTATGCTATCGAGCCTGTCTATTGCAATTACTTTTACTCAAAGATATGTCCAGTGGCGTGTGGACTTTCTTTTCTTATCAAATCCTTAAATATTCATAGTATGTCTTTGGTACGTGCTACGTCAATATAATTGGTTTTAACTGATCTGTGTACAACTTTATTTACGATATGCACCATTCCTAATTATTCAATTATATAAAATCTTATTTGCAATATTTTAATTATGTATCGTAAGTACAATTTGAAAGCCTTCTTATTGAATATCAGATGCATAATTTTTATGGCCGGTCATGTACAATATACTGGTATGAAACAAACACAAGCCAATCGAGCTAAAAAAATAAGACTACGAAAGTAAGACTTGTGTTTTTGCGCGTAAATATTTGCATATTAAGCTGATGAATACAATAATTCTTGTTATATATAGTTTTTGAATATAAGTAATCGTTCTAGTCCAGTAAATACAAGAGTTTACGCTTCGTGGAGCGGCGTATGCATAACCAGAGAACACGGTTCCAAGTCAGTGTTTACGAGTTGTTTTGTTGACTCAATACTGAACGTTCCATCGTCTATACTAATAACTATACGTTTATATCGTACTTATTGATTTGTATGATAAAATAGTTCTAAGATACGACCTTACAATCAAGTGTCGTATGAAGAAATCGAGCCAAAGGTTGCTTGATAGGAATTGTCAGTAAAGTTTAATATAAAACCTCCTTTGTCTCACCTCTTTTTAATACGTTGTATTTTTTTTTTAAACTAAAAAAGCTACGAAATTTTCTCATACAAAGGAAACATTACATTCTACCTCATTTACATAATCGTTGTATATATGTCGAACATTAATTAATTATTTATTTTTAATATATAATTTTATTACACAACATCCGATCACACGTCTTAATGACATCCTAATAGCTGTTTAACTGTTAGGTAATATTATGTACTTTGATTGACGTTTAAGAAAGACATAAAGCAATTTAACCGGGTGGCTGGTAGTTTAATTTTTATTAGCCGCACCCCACTTTCGCGGTCGGTTAAGTAATAGCCTGTTAATATATCCGGAGTATTTTTTTTGGCAAACCAAATTATTTACGTCAGTGTCTAAAATGTAGGGCAAAGATAATAAAAAAAAGATAAATTAAAAATACATTTAAAAAAGTTGCGCCCAACGTGGGGCTCGAACCCACGACCCTGAGATTAAGAGTCTCATGCTCTACCGACTGAGCTAGCCGGGCTTATGATAGGGACACGAAATAGCCATTTTGTTTCCGTTACACGGCTACAGACTATAAATAGATTATACATGAAGAGTACGCAATCAGATTAGGAACATTATATATACCAAAAAATGTTAATAAATATCATTCAGTAACTATTATTATAGGATACTTTATCCTACTACAGATTTTTATGTGAATATTATGTTTTTGTATATATAATTATATATATTTGACCTTTATAAGAAATACTCGCAAACGCAGTGTATTTGAAGTTCCTCATTGGAACCGGTTGGCAGTTGCGAAAGCTTTCAAGGTTGAATGGAGCTTTCTTCTAACAAGAATGCGTCCGAGCATTTAACACGAAGAAAGGGAGATAACATTCTTATCCAGTACTTTAATCGCATGCTAGATGTACGCCCGCATACTTTCATTGGCGTTACAATTAAAAGAGAGTTTATATTCGGAAAAATAAAAAAAAATCATATAAAAACTCTTTGTAAGTTTCAAAAACTAAAGGGAAATGCAGTATCGATCGCGACCATGACCGCAGTGTATGACTCAGTCAGTCTTTGTCCTCATGTGAGGCCAACTTATCACTAACCTAAACAACTTTTAAAAACATATATCCATTTTTGATTTTTAAAAACAGAACAGTTTTATGGCCAGTAACTTGACATGCAAAGAGAATTGCAAAGAGGTTTTAATACAAAAAGTTTTTATTAATCAATTAATAGTCGTATGACTCATACTGTGGAAGGGTCAATGAATGAGTATAGTTCGTAATTTACGCATTTGACTTCATAGTACAATGATATTGAGCTTTTGTTCAAGTTATTAACAAACAAACTGACTTTTAACAACTATATTTTAAGAAACAATTATAATAGTGTATGTAAGAAGTACATTTAAATATGTAAACAAATATAAATATATAGTATAGCAATTGCTACATGATCTTACAATGAAATGATAATATAAGAAGGTATTAACTACGTTAAAATTAAATATTATGAGTTGTTTAATTTTAAAATTAATATTTACATTAATTTCATATGTAGCGTGCAATCAAACTAAATATTAGGGTCGGTAATTTATAGACGTGAGTCATCTCGTTTACCGGTTACTGAATTAGCCATTAAGTTAATATTTCAAACACTAACGTTCATTTATTGATTCAGACAACCCTATTTCATAAATGAATATCAAAATTTATGTGTCTTAAATTTTTATAATGTTAATTATATGAGATAAATTTGGAAATAGGTGCTTAAAAATTCAATTGTCCGTTTAAAAGAAATAACTCTCAAGGTTATTTCTGTATTATAACGTATATACTATTTTTATATAATTTTTGGATTTCAATGCCACTGAAGATTATACAGAGCGCTGAGGTCGTAATTATTATTGACAATATTAAAAAGATATATTGAAGGTTTATGTATAAAGCTTTAGTTATTATTCTACTAGCTTTCCGCCCGCAGCTTCGCCCGCCTGGTGTTCGGTTATATCGCGTTTCCAAGAGAACCTTTCAAAAGTCTGGGACAAAAACTATCCTATGTTCTTTCTCAAGGT